TTTCAATTTCACTTGGAAGAAACCTTAAACTATCTCCAAGGTATTATGGGCCCTTTGAGATCATTCAAAAGGTGGGACCAGTTGCTTACAAACTCAAGATGCCTTCTGAATCAAAGATTCATCCTATTTTCCATATATCTTGCTTGAAGAAAAAAGTTGAAACTACTGTACAAAGGCAAGAAACGACCAAGAGTTCGAGAGGATGAAGATGTTATTACTGCTTGGCCACAAGTAATCCTTGAAGAATGAATTCGAAAGCGATGAAGAGAGATACTTATTCATTAGGAAGGGCACTCACCATCAGATGGAACTTGGGAAGATGTTGAGCAATTGAATATTTGTTTTTCAGAATCTCTTCTCGAGGACAATGATAGAATATAGGGGGGAAGAATGTTACTGTCAATGTTTTGAAAATCGGATTGGAATTTGACCTAGTCAAAGGTCTGATTCCCAGATTGATCGATTCGATCGGTTAAACTGGTCAGTCGGACCAGTAACATCTTAACATGATGTCATTAAAAATAAAAAGAATTTAATTTATTAAATATATTAAGAAAAAACCACAACTCTTTTCCTCTTCTTCATAAAAAAAATTTAATTTATTAAATATATTAAGAAAAAACCACAACTCTTTTCCTCTTCTTCTTCTCTCTCCTTTTCCCCACCACTCTTTTTTCTTCTCTCTCATTAATTAATTTCTCTTCACTTTTCATTACATACCTTGACACTTTTCAGTTTTCAATTTCAAATCTCTTGCACCTTACCGGATCTTTTCTCAAAAAATAAATGTCTCTTCTTCATTTTCCCTCTCCTTTTCTCCACCACTCTTTCTTCTCTCTCATTAATTATTTCAATAATGCTACGAACACCGAAAAAACTGCACCGAAATCGTGTATCGATCTACGTGTAACACGCCTCTTATTTTTTTTACAATTTTTTTCTAGTGAACGGCCATCCATCAAATTTGGACGGCCATTCACTCACATAGACGCCCGTCCATATTATATGGACGGACGTCCATATACAAGGGACGGGCGTCCCCATTTAAAGGACGCCCGTCCATAAATAAATTATGAAAATAAAAAAAAAAAACTTTGGGGACGGCCGTCCATAAATTATGGACGGCCGTCCCTTACGTTTGGACGGGCGTCCATTCCTAATGGACGCCCATCCATACTTTAAAAAAACAAAAAATGTTTGGATGGGCGTCCATTTCTAATGGACGACCGTCCATTATTTTAGTTTCTACAAATTAAAGAAAAACTTTGGTTGGGACGGGCGTCCGTAAGGAATGAACGCCCGTCCATTACTTACGTTTTTGTGAAATCTTTCCAGTGATAGCAATCTCATGCAGTATCTCCTGCACATCATCAGCCAACTTTTTGATGTCCTCCGGTCAGTATAGTACGTTTGCATCCTGGTTGAAGTTCTGTAGCTTATCCTTATTCTTTTCATCGCTGCTGACTTCCCCGAAAATCTTAAACTCTTGCCTCCCCGAAAAAAACACAGTGAAAGAAGACGAAGAAGTAGACGGGCGAAGTTCTGCACCTTCTTCACTTGCCTCCATGGAAACTTTATTGCATCCATTTTGATTTAACAGGTTAGAATTTCAAACACATTGACTTAGACTTTTAAAACACTACACAAACATCATCATCTTTATCTTTATCCTTAATATATTTGTTGAATTGTATTCATGGAAAAAGAAGAAAATGAAGACTGGAACCATTACCCGAAAAGATGATGATGATGATGAAGATAATTTGTAGAAACTAAAATAATGGATGGGCAAACATTTTTTTTTTTTTTTAAAGTATGGACGGGCGTCCATTAGGAATGGACGCCCGTCCAAACGTAAGGGACGATCGTCCATAATTTATGGACGGTCGTCCCCAAAGTTTTTTTTTTTTATTTTCATAATTTATTTATGGACGGGCGTCCTTTAAATGGGGACGCCCATCCCTTGTATATGGACGCCCGTCCATATAATATGGACGGGCGTTCATGTGAGTGAATGGCCGTCCAAATTTGATGGACGGCCGTTCACTAGAAAAAAATTGTAAAAAAAATGAGAGGTGTGTTACACGTAGGCCGGTACACGATTTCGATGCAGTTTTTTCGGTGTCCGTAGCATTATTGTAATTATTTTATCTTCATTAGATAATCCTTTCATTCTCCAGACGTCTTCATTCCTCTCTCTCTCTTTTTCTTCATTGAGTCTTTGTTTCCACACGTCCTTCTTCTTCTTCCCAACAATGATCCTATGCCTTTTAGTTTTCCATGCCATCACCAAATGCACCCTAAAAACTGTCGACTCATTGACAATGATCATGGTGAAGATGATGTGAGGTAAGAGGAGACGAAGATGAATTTTGTGGACAGACTGGTTGGACCGCTGGTTCGTTATTGTTCATCCGGTCTAAATTCGGTCCACACCGGGTTATAACCTAATAACGAGTTTTATTATGCTTCAGATTGGACTAGTGGCCGGTCGACGATTGAACCGGTTTGATCGTCCGGTTCGGTCCGATTCGGGTTTCTAATCATTGGTTATAGTCTTAACTCTTAAGGTCTTATTTATGAGTGGGTCTTATTTGTGGGTAGGAGTTGCTAAAGACTAGTTCCTATTTGCCATGTAGTTTTAATCCTAAGGGTCTGATAGGGGTGGGCGGTTCTAGTACCTACCATTTTTTTTAAGTAACCAAAACCAAAACTGACCAGATCCTTTGATTTGGTTCCGGTTCAGGTATCCTAAAAAATATCAATTACCTTTGATTTGGTTCCGGTTCAGGTATCCTAAAAAATATCAATTATCCCCTTATTTTTTAAAAATGAGAGTAAACTCTTATAAAATTACATTACACCCTCAATAGGTTTCTGAAATAACAAATACACCCTACAAACTTTACAAAAATTACAACTATTCCAATATCCATTTCAACCTCCCAAAATTAAAATAACATAACACTTTAAAACTTTAAATAACATATCAACTATCAAGTTTCATCCTCCCAAAATTAAAATTATATAACACAATAACATCACATAATAAGTTAACAACATAAAGGCCCAGAAGAAATAAATTCCTTTTGAAAAGGTGTGCATATAAAATAATTCAGATGCAAACAACCTCGTAGTGTGTATATAAAATAATTCTGCATTATAACAAAAATCTTCCTCCACACTTTCTTAAACATTCCAGCAATGCAATAAACAAAAAGAATCATGAAGCTTGGTACTTTCAATTCGGCATTCATCACAAAAATTTAACTTCTCTCTTTTCAATGTATTTTAGCTTATAAATTAACAACACAAACAAACATACTTCCAGCACATATGCAAGACTCCATTAAAACAAANCAAGATGTTGGGATGGTGCCTTAAATCCTATATTGATTAGGAATGGGAGTTGCAAGGGAATTCTCCCCTTTAAATAGACCAATAGATTGAGCTTTTAAAATATCTCAAAAAATGTAAAATAGACACCAAAAGAATATTCATTGTGGCTGTTATTAAGGGTGTAATTGAGCCTTTTGGGATAATGTAAGGAGTTTGCAGTTTTGCTCTTCTAAAAATTGCATAGTGAACATAGACTAAATTGATTAGGCCAAACCACTTTATGTAGGCTAAATTGATTGTGTCAAACCACTTTATGGAGGCTAAATTGATTGGCCGAACCACTTTAAAATTCTTGTATTTGGTTTTCTTTATTTTAAGTCGTTTGTTTTAATTTTACGTTTGAGTTGTGAGAATTTTTCCAACACGAGTTTTTTCTTCCAATCATGGTAGTGTGGAGCTAAAACTAAGATTCCCAAAAGATGTTTAGTTCATCAAATCAACAGCTGGTGGCTTGATTGATTCTTTTGTGCCAGAATCTCTTGTGAAATGGGAACCTTCAAACAAATGATAAATGAATAACTGAATCGATCACCAGGAAGAGCCTTGTTGAAGGTATTAGAGACTTACTCAACAATTGGTACATATCTGACTTCCATTTCACCAAATAATAGGTGTACTTGAGACATTTACATGGACTTCATTAAGTAAAGATTTGATCGAGGTGACTTTAGCAGCTGTTTGTGCAAGTGATCTATACTTACTTTTGATGCTTGATCTTACTACTGCCTTTTGTTTCTTATAGCTCTTAACAGATTTAAGTTTTCACCCAAAAACACACAATATCTCCTACAGATTTCCTATCTTGAGTGTCACAAGCTCAACCTATATCAGAGTAACTCATAATTTCTATGTCTCCTTCTACTTTTAACATAATTCCTTGATCAACGGTTCCTGTCAAGTATCTCAAAACTCTCTTACAACCCTACCAATGAATGAGAGTTGGGGATTGCATGAATTGGTTTAACTTGTTTACTGCAAATGCAAGTTTTGGTCTTCTGATGGTTGCATATTGAAGCGAGTCAATGACACTTCTATAAAGCGTATGACCTTCAAATGGTTTACCTTCATTTTTGAAATAAGTTGAGATTAATTGAAACATCCAGTGACAAGAATGGCATCAACATAGACAGATGATTTGGTTTGCTGGGAATTTCAAAGCCTTCAGGTTGATCCGACGGCTGATCCGAAGAAGGATAAGATTGTTTTTGTTTTGACAGATGATTGAATGGATTAGATTTCCAACCTGGAATCTATGTGTATTATAAAAGTTCCTGTAAAACAATTTTAGGGTTAACGAAATTTTTCGCAAGTCTTGTTGAATTGATTCTATGTTTTTCGGCTCTGTTCTTTAGAAATCCTCTGCATTAGGAAGTTTTACAAATCAATTCTGAAGCGTCAAACAACAGAGCTAGAATTTGAGCAGGTGCGGGCTATCTCAAGTAAGGATCAAATGGTAGCTTATGTTTCTTCTAACAATAATTTCAAAAGAATTGAGCACTTCAAGATCAAATGCTTTGAGAATTGAATATTTTGGCAGAATAATCAGAGTGACTGTAACAGATGCTAGAACAATAGTAAGGACAGGAACCGGATTTAATCTTTTAAGTGTTAGTCAAGAAAAAGACTGAGGTAAATGCTATCAGCATTGTAATTATTGACACGTAGAATGCTGAGAGTCCGGTCATCAATTTAAGCGGCAAAGACTTGAGAAAATCATCTTCTGCACAATGCAGTGTAAGGATGGACAAAAAATTCAGCATTGAGATAGAAGAGCAAAATAATGCGATTGCATCTGCGATCACAAAAACGTGGTATAAATTCTTCCTCCTATTAATTGATCTTCCTATTTCACCATTGTTACCTACAGTACTGAAGGCTGCTGCAAACATGACAACAGTTACAAGTGATGCAATAGTCATACATGAGCTGGCTGCCTTCTTCGTTGAAACTTTTGCCCCTTTTAATAGTTCTGAATGTTCAACGGTGAATAACTCTCGAGGTGTTTTGCCCTCTGAATTTCTCATTTCTTTAAACGAAGGCTTTGCAATCTTTTCAACCTCCTAAAACATGAACAAATTTTCAAATCAAAATGAAAATGCTATAAATTGATGTTAAATAGAAAATTATAATAATAAGTATTATATAGAAGTAACTTACAAAATATTTTACCTTCAACTTTAACAATTCTCGCTGCATTTCCAGAGCTGCATCTGGAACAGTACTGGCTGAACTTGGATGTTGATATTTTGCTGCTAAATGTAATATGTTATTTCCATCTTTATCTCGGTAAGTCGCTAACAATTCCTTAGCAAAGCCGATTTCATGAACTAGATCCAGTATATTGGTATGACCATGTAAAACTGCAATGTGAAATATGGTTTGATCATTTTCATCTAATTCATGGACCAAGTCAGGATAAGAGCGAATAATCTCAGCCAAGAATGCAAAGTTCCCCGATTTTATAGCATCGAACAATAAATTTGAAGGATTTCTTATGAATTCCAAAGCATCGACATCATCTCGTCGTATTGTTTCTCTCCAAAGACTTTGGACTAATTTAAGTGCTGGAGTTGAAGTGAAGTCATCAGTATCCTGAGTAAACTTCATTCCTGAGACTAAGAGTGAGAATTAATTAATTATAGCAGCAAGTTATTATTAAAATTGAAATATAAAATTAGTTTTCCATGGTTTTCTTTCTTTTGATTAATACATTTATGGAAATTTAGAACAGTGGCATTGTCAATATTGAGTCCGAGAATTAGTGGAAACTAACATGAGCTGATAAGTCTCTTCAATGGTCCTGTGCTTCTGCAAACGAATGCTGAGGGGTTTTGAGCCAACATATGCAAGGCAGTCCCAAATTGAACATGACGAGCTGCGGCTAGCTCTTTATCATCCTCTAGCAATGTCAAGGCGAAATCTGAGGAATTCATCAAATCCCAATGATTATACATATGTGCAATAAAAAAAAATATAAACATATATAACTTCAAATAAAATAATTAAGCTTTCATATTAGTATCCGGGTTTTAAGAATTAGAAGGAAAACAAAAGTCAAAATGAGGTTGAAGTTAGATATAAAATCTAAAGGAATAATAACCTACAATAAGGGACCATTTGAACTACCGTTAGGTGGTGAGTGGTTTGACATAGACTCTTAAGTGTATTATTCAAGAGGTCCTGAGTTCGAGTCTCTCATCAGTTACTAATAGGGTAGCCATTGGAACTCTTATCCGACTAATAATTATAAGGTCCTGAGAGATTAGTTGAAGTACGCCTAAGCTAGTTCGGACACCGAAGTCATTAAAAAAAAGGACTATTTGATAAAAAAAAAAAAAAAAAAAAAAACCATTTGGACCTATATATTTAATGTAATGTAGTACTACAGTATTAGCTTGTCTCAAGCACTTATTTAAATACCATATGATACATCTAATGTAGCACTATGATAGAATGAAACAAACTAGGACAAATCAGATATATTGTTTATTAATTATTTTTTTGTCTTTCTTTAACCACCATCATAATTAGTGGTTTAATGCGAATATATTATATTTTTATTGAACAAATGTAAACGTAGTATCATGCAAATATGTCAAATAATACTGTTCACAATTGATCTGAAAATAGGTGAGACTTACCATAAAGACCCATAAGAACACTAACAATAAATGTTGACTTGCGGTCCTCTTTGGTGAGATATTGTTTAGCTTTACGGTATAAAAACTTTGCCATTTCTTCATGTCCAAATAAAGCAGCCAAGTATAGTGGAAGCATATTTTTACCGCCTCGGATTGTCAGTAGATTTTGATTCATTTCCAGCATAATCTGTACAATTTGTAAGCTTCCAATCATGACAGCAAAACAAAAGGCTGTATTCCCATTAATGTCTTGCAACATTAACTCCTCTGGTTTCATCAATTTCACTATCTCCCGGACAAACCTTGTTTGTCCTGCATCTGCTGCTACATGAAGAATAGTTTCATAACCCTTTGTAATCGCTGTACATAGCACTGAGGGATGATGATGTTTCGTTCGCATTGAAAAGCGCTTAACTTCTTCAATGTCGCCGTTGATGGCAGCGTTGTTAAGAGGAACACATATGTCGAAATACAATGCTTTATTTTTTCCTGTTTAATATGAATAACATAATGAGATAATTAAAGATCATCTTGAAAACATTGATGTGGGTTTAAGTTAGAGAGCTCACCAGAAAGAAGACGAAGGGAAGGCCACCTGATTACTTGAGTTGGAGTTGCTTTATCGATATCATTTAGCTCTTTATGAACATCTATATCTTCCATTCAATTGTATATTGATCAGTTGGAGTAGCTTTTCTCATCAATATGATGTGTTTTTCAGATGTCATAATTTCCTTTGTGAGAATAGTAATGTCTCCTTCAACTTTGACTATACGACGTACATCATAGCTCCATATATAAAGATCTATACATACATACATACATACATATGAAATAACAGAAGGTTTCTGCTATTTTTTTAGTGTATTTTAAGAAGTAATTAATATTTGTTTCCCTACCCTGCTTCATGCGTTTCATATGAATGCAACATATTTGGACTATTTGCAGGACTTTAAGCAAATTATACAAGTTCTGGTTTTGATCCCCTTTTCTTTATACTTATTGTCTTCTGTGATGTGCATACGCTGACGAATGATATTCTCTTTATAGACAACGATTGACATGTCGTGTTGTTTGATTTCTTTTCAAAATGCTCGAATCAAAGCTCTATTACGTGCCCTCTTGTCATTTAAAATAAGTGTTTCAAGAATAAACTAATATTTTTTAAAATAAAATTTACTGTTCAGGGCGGCAATTTATAGTTTTTTGCAAGGCCAGGAACAATTACGGGTTGCTGTTTATTACATTATTCTTTTTGTTGCTCGTGAATTTTCTTCCTACTTCTTCTTCTTCTCTTATTAATTATGATCATCGGATCCTCATTAGTAAGATTAATTATTGTTGTTAAAAGTAGTTATTAATAATATTTTTGAATTAGAGACCACAATTAGGATTTGGACTTACTTAACTCCATTCATTATATTATATAGTAAAAGTAGTTACAAATTCAATTATTATTATTTGTATCTATAACTTTACTTGAAAGGAATTTATTAATTGACATCTCCATTGGTATAGACAATACAAATATATTAGCATTTGCATTTTATTTAATTTAGTTATAAAGAAAGAAATAAAAAAAATTCATTTCAATGGTGCCCCTGGACCGAAAATTCCTGGGTCCACCATGATCAGGAGTGACAAAAACCTTTCTCCTGATAAGATTAGCTGTGATACCATTATGGTTGTGATTAGCTAATAACACTGTTGGGAAATCCTACAAATACAGTTTCATCACATATGCAAAGAATTAATAAAAATAAATAAATAACAATTGATTGAGAAACAAATGCACAAGGAGTTTTACCATGGTTTAGGCAATAATAATCTTATGTCCACATTGAACTTAACACACGAACTCACTTGCACTATTAGGAAGATTATACAAATACTCCCAAGAACAACTAAGGCTGTGCTGTTTCCTATTCAAACCCTATTTTATCCAATTTTATCCAATCCTATCAAAATACATATTTGTTTCAATATTCTCAAAATTCAATCCTGTTTAAGTTCAACTCAAATATTTAGATTTTTTTAACCTTTGAGTTTGTTAATTAATTAAACACTCCCAACAATTAAAAGTTATAAATTCACAAAAATTACGCTCATCCACCCACATATTGCCAACAACTGACCATCATTGTCGAAAGGTGGTCAGAAATTATCGGAATGACGTACAATTGGCTAGATATGGTCGGTCATGCACTGACCTAGCCTTTTCCGATCAGATCCACCAGAGTCATAGTTGGAAAAGGGCAAATCAGTACACAACCGACTAATCTAGTCGGAAAAGGCCAATATCTATGCCAAAGATCTAGTCGTAATGGGTAGATCTTGCCACATCTAGTCGATAAAGACTATCTATCTTGGTCGTTGTTGACGGCCAAACAATGGCCCAGATGTGGTCATCCTCAATCGCCAATTTGGCCAGATTTGGCTGAAAACAGCCAGATTTATGCACTACCGGCTAGATCCAGGCGCGTGCATCATTTGGCAACTTTCGACACCGTCCGAATATGGTGGCCGGTGCTAGATTTAATGGGTGGAGTGGGGGTGTTTTATTAATTTAAAACTTTTATATAGTTGATGTTAGCTAAATTAACAAATGTAGAGGGTTAAAAAATAATCTAAATATTTCAGAAAATGTTTTTAAAAAATTTACCAAAACATTTCAAATTTAAATCCTATTCTCGTAATAATAACTCAAATCAACTTTTTTAAAAATATTATTCTAAATACTCTATCAAACACAACCTAAGATACCTCTCACAAATACACATCACAGAGAAGATAAAATGATTATCTGTTTCGGATTTCCGCAAAACATTTAAATAAAATGATAATATTCCTTCTATAAAACATTTTTTAACAACTGGAGTATGAAGATAAGAATTTTACTTTCTGAAAGATAAGTACTTTACTTTCTGAAACAGAGTTTCTGTAAAATGTTCTAATAAAACTTTATCTGAACTATTATACTTTATAGTAAATTATCTTATAGACTAAAATATTAGTTGTTCTATTCATCAAAGCACCTATGATTTTATATGTGCATATATACATTCTGCAGCAAGACTTTTTAACGTAACTTCGATGCAATGGAAATAAATCTATATATATATATATTAATATATATATATATATATATATATATCTAATTATTGTAATTACCACATGAAAAGGATGTAGATATATGGTCAAACACAGTGACATATTCAATATTGAAAACTTAGAGAGAATAATAAAGAAGAAAGAGAAAGACGCACAAGATTTACGTGGTCTGATAATATTTTTGCATTTATGAGACACAAAATAAATATTCACGTCACTAGAATAAGAACAGATACAGTATCAAACTATTTTGTAAGAGGGACCTACGATACCATTTGCCTTAGAAAAAATGAATTTATTTGCTATCGCCAAAAGAATCAAAATATTTTGGACAGCCCAACGCCAAACTAATTGGGCTTTGTTGAGTTATTAAACATAGTCCAAGTATAAAAAGGCTTTCTTAAAATCGTAATTGCGGCTCCAACCTTGATTGGGCTCCTAGTGTAAATTTCTCTCTTCTGAAAAAAATGACTATACCATAAGCAGAGGATAAACTAGGTATAGGTTATGAGGGTATTTTGGGTATAAATAGGAGATGTTTTTAAAATATTAAGTAGGTGAATTAGTAATGGGTGCTACTAATAAATTAAATGGGGTTTAAAAATTACTTCCTTTTTAAATGCATGTAAATGTTTCTATTATCTCAATGCCTTTATAGAATTTTTCAGCTTTTTTTTTCTTTTCTATATAATGCTTTCTTTTTAATACATATATTGCTTATTGTATTTGTTAATATTATATATACAAAAATATTATAAATTAATGTGATAAACTTGCTATAATTCAATCTTTTTTTTACGAGTGAAGTGAAAATCCCCATCATTCATAAAATTTTTCTTCTAGTAAATTTTTGTTCTTCATTAATAAAAGTTTTTATGAATGAAAGGGAAATTTCCTCGTAAGTTTTCCTTTTACTCGAAAATTTTCCTTTTCATTGGAAAATTTTATTTTCACTGTGAATTTTTCCTCTTCATTCGTAGATTTTTCTTTTTCACTAGTGAATTTTTCCTTTATACAGAGGGAAGTTTATTCATTAATGTATAACGGCTTTTTTGTCTTCATAATTATTGATATGTAAAAGTTAAAATAGTTTTGTATAACTGCAGATTGCCTAAATAAATAATTCTTTAATCACAAGTGTCGTGACATTAACTTATTAAGATTATATTTAAATAATCAATTTGAGGGTTAATAGTGTATAAATTATTTTCAGCATTCTGAAATAATCTTATATATTAATGCAATAAAATCACAGTAACATATTTAATTAAAACAAATTTTGTTATGCTTATATCCTTTATAATGATTAAACAACAATCACTATTGCAAAGTTTGTCGCAATAAAATTGTAAATATTTTGTAGTGCATGTCTCTTTTAACCTTTCATTGATTATTGAGTCACAATAAATTTTTAGAAGCAAAATATTTGATAAATAAAATAATTTCCTTTGAAAATTTTGTGGATAGTTTAAACCATCTTTAAATTTTAGTCTAATACTACTTATCCCAAGATATATAAAAAGTTTACATCTGAATGATGTGTCATCTTATATGGTATTGTTGTCAATGCATGGGTGTAACCCAAAAATTAATTGGGAATTGGGGTGGTCAAAATGAATCTTCAATGAATTTAAGGAACTAAATAGAAATCCACATAAAACTTGAAGACTCTACCAGGATAGACTTTATCTGCATAATACCGTAGGAGAAAGTGATGGCATAATGCAAACAATGCCCCAGAAGACAAAAATCAAGAGATTGACCTGTTGCCAATTTTACAAGAATTTTGCGGGGCTCGAAGTGGCATGGCCAAGGGAGTGTTGTATGTAACTTCATCAGTGCATGTGATGTGACCCTGAGCATGACCAACCAACAAAAAATAACAAATAATTAGTGGCAACAGATTCTGTCACCATGACCGTGAGCATCTTAATGGTTCAAAGACTGCAGTCTAGAATAACACGTGATGTGAGCAGTAAATTGAAAGCAACTCTTTATTATGGTGATAAGATAAAAATTTGTCATAACAAACAAAACCATGGGCATTACATGAAACATAAGTAAAAAAAAATGTGGAAGTGTTGTCTTATATATTGACATATCATTTAACATCTCAATTCATTATTACACTTTAAAATCACGTAAAAAAATACATCATAGGAAAAAAACCGGACTATATTTAAAGGATGTGACTTAAAGATGTTTAATTAAAGTATATGACCTATTGAATAGGTACGATGAGGGAATAGGTACAATGAAGCGTTGTAATTTATAAAAAAAATTGTAAAAAAGGGTATAATATAATACTAGAGTTCTAATTTTACACAACTTTAAATCTCTTTTCATTCGGCTTATACAGTTGTTTCAAATTCTCTTACACAAATTTTTTTTTTTTTTTCTTCTACATTCAAACAGTTTTCTATAGAGTATTTTAGGGAATGCTTCAAACTACTAATTGCAGTATTCCAAATTTGTTATAACTTGGAGGTAATGTCAGAAAGCCTGTTAGCAAACTATTAATGTAGGGGGAAATAAAACCTTAAGGAAAGTGTTCATACAGGCCTTAAATCCATTTTATTCATGATCTCTAAAAATCAAGGGGGTGTTAGTTTTCTCCACTTAATCTTAAATCTAATTAAAG